CCTTGAGCCCCTCCTGCACCCTGCTCGGTCGGCCGGGCTGTCGCCCGAAGCCCTGGCTGCCCAGCTGGCGCTGAGCTCCATCTGCACCATGGGCCGGCTTCTGCGGGCCGTTAGGGCTGCCCTCCCGATGGAAGCAGCGACCGCCCTGGAAGTCTATCTCCAGACTCACCGGACGCTCCCTGCCGTGGACACCGCGCAAGATGCCTTCCTACCGCTACCCGTCATCCCAGCGGTACCCAGCGAGCTGGCCAAGCGGCCCAACACCCTGCTCGGGCTCCCGGTGCCCCCCAGCAGCAATACGGGCTGCCCTTTTGGCACCCTACCCCGCAAGGGCCTCTACACATGGGTGGTGTGCACCCGGCACGCCAAGGTGCTCGCCGGCCACCCTGACACAATGTGGCGGCGGCGCCTGGCGCAGCCCAGGACCCCAGCGTGGCGCAAGCTGTATAAGGCGCCCACTGCCAAGAAGACCGGCGACCTGCAGTGGCAACTTGTGCACGGCATCCTGGCCACCGGCACCTTTGTGCGTCACCTGGACCCAGCAGCCTCAGCGGCCTGCCCCTTCTGCCCGGGGGTGCTGGACGAGGACATTTTCCACGCTTTCCTCAACTGCCCCCAGCTGCAGCCTCTCTTTGCCGCCCTGGGCGCACTGCTTTGGGTGCTGGGCCGGGACTTCTCCGAGGACGTCTACATCTACTCCTTCCCATACCGGGCGGCCGAGCGGGCCATGGTCAGCCTGGCCAACTTCCTGCTGGGCCAGGCCAAGATGGCCACCCTGAAGAGCCGGCGAAACCGGCTCACCGGGATGGTTGACGTCCTTCAGCTCTTCCGCCTGCTGGTGTGGGCCCGCCTCTCGCTCGAGTTCGAGCACGCTGTCCTACGGCGGATGGGGGCCACCTTTGAGGAACACTGGGCCCTCGAGGGGGCACTGTGCCGAGTCGAGGCGGGACACCTGATCCTTGCACCGTGACACCACCGGCTGCTCAAGCTGCAGAGATGGTTGACGTCCTTCAGCTCTTCCGCCTGCTGGTGTGGGCCCGCCTCTCGCTCGAGTTCGAGCACGCTGTCCTACGGCGGATGGGGGCCACCTTTGAGGAACACTGGGCCCTCGAGGGGGCACTGTGCCGAGTCGAGGCGGGACACCTGATCCTTGCACCGTGACACCACCGGCTGCTCAAGCTGCAGAGACGCGTCCAGCGGGCCGAGGCCTTGGACTTTGTTCATGCGGGTCGACCCCTGAGGCCTCCATGGGTGTCCCCGCTGGCAGAACTGTAAATATGTAAATAGTCCTAATGTTCGTTGTGGTTTTTTGTTGTGTTGTTTTGTTTAGTCTAGAGTTTACGGGCAGGCCTTGCAGGCCATGAGCCCAGACCTTGTCCATGAGGCCCAGATCTTCGGGCCAACCTGTACATGCTCTCTACTGGCCCCGATTTGTCACCCTCCCTGGAATAAATGCCTCTTAAAAGTCAAAGTCAGTCTGTCTGTCTTTCTTTTTTTGGCAGACAGAAGAAAAATGCAATCTGTCTTTTGGCTTTTCTCTTCTATTTTTCTTCCTTTCTTTGATGGATTCTCACAATTGTTTGTTGGTTGTCTCCTCTCTTACCTTGTTAAGTACTTTATCACCTGTTTTATCCAACTGTCATTTTTATGTCAGTAACTCTCAAATCTGCAGCTTCCCAGTCTATGATTTGTCCAACTCCAATTGTATACACCTGCACCATATCCTGGATCACTTACTGCTGACACAAGGTTACCTACCACCCCACCCATTGTTTCTTTTCCTTGACTTTTTCTACTTCCTCCTTTTATATATCTGAAACTCTGACAATGATACTTCTATTTTCCCTGGCACTCAAGTTTATATTGGGCCACCTTTAACCCAAAGGGTTGCAATAGATCTTTTCCCTTCTTTCTTTCTTTCCAAGGGTTGAAGAACTAATACCCTTTCTCAGCTGCTGGCTGAACTCTGCAATTTCAGTTTGTGCAAAATGTAATTGCTAAAACTAACAAGTCTTCTCTCTGAATACATCTACTACTGGCTCTTCTTTCTAAATATATCTACAGGCACTTCCTTGTCCAACATAACTAACGTGAAGAAAAAAACATTAATTATATAGCCTTGTTCAGGTCCACTCTAGCCTACACCTGACATTAGAAAAGTGATAATGTTCACTATCACCCAGAATTCTTTAAATAGAGACTGGATGTCTTTTAACAAAAAAAAACATGCTCTAAACAGCCATGTGTTATTGGCCTGGTGGTAGTGTGGGAAATTGTTTAGTCTGTGATATCCAGGAGGTCAGATTAGATAATCCCTGTAGTATCTTCAAGTTTGAATGTATCATTCTAGCTTCTGATTGCATCTCCTTTCTACTGAAATTGTTTCCTTTCCATGTCCTTCATTACCCTTTATGCAGATAAAAACTTTTAAATCCTAATGAAACAGGCTTCTTCCCTTCCTTCTTCTCATTCAGCCCCCATGGAACTGCTCCAGCCAGCCTACCAGCAGCTCAGAGTTGGGGGCAAGCCAGTGGTAAACTGCTGAATCCAGGACCCCAAGGGACTTGGCCCTAGGCAACAAGGCTTTGGTGAGGGGGAGGGGACTGGGGGCTGTACAAACACAGCCCTCAGTTGCCCCACAGCTGCCTGGCCTGGGCCACATGCAACCTGGGGCCCCAGATGAGTTTGACACCCATGGTATTTATGCTTTCACTGCATTAACACCACATTCAAGAAAAACGGAGTATTAATAGAATAGTAATTTTTTTAAATCTACATTAACTACCTCACATCCAAGTCTTCTATTTTGTCTTATTATATCTATTTTTTTTTTAAGAAGCTTCCCAACATAGGAACTATCAATATGAATTCTACAGCATCAAGTTTATCGCCAATGCCTTAACAAATAAAATAATGATAGTATTTCTCAGTGTACACAGGTCACTTCTAATGTCAAGATGGAACTTACCAAGAAAACCTTATCCTAAAAGGTGCCAAAAGTATCACCGGAGCAACTTCAGGAAGCTCTGGATTGAGTAATTTTCATACATTAATTTACTTTTATAGGATTATTCATGAGAACTACATGATTGCTCTGATTTAATTAAGTGAATACAACTTCTAGCCTCCATTTTAAAAGCTTACCTTTACAGCTTCACTTAGGGTTTGGTTTTTGTCTGCTTCTTCTCTGGAGTGCAATTCTAGTTTGTAATTTAACTCTTGCAGCTGTTGCGCCTGCTCATTCAAAAGCATTTGTGCCTGCTGCTCTCGATGTAATGCATTATTCAATTCTTCACATGCACTTTCAAACCTCTCATGGGTGATCAGTTTCTGATAAAGGAAATAAATTATGACTTGACTTTGCTAATATGCAACATTCTAATGCAAAAAAATTTAAAAGCTCAAAACCTGACTTGCCCAACAGACTTAGGCAAAATTATCATAAAACATGTAAGTTAGACAACTTTGTTCATTGCATTGCTTCAAGAAAAGTTTGCAATTTTGTTTTATAGTATACAAAAAACCACTTTTATTCTATATAGATTTAAACCAGAAATATGTTTTTACTGAAGGAAAGAATTTGTAGATGAATTTACCTGCATTTCAATATGTATTATATCAGCCATATAGCCTCCTGACTGGGTTAGTGGGGGCTCCTTAGAATGTTTCAGAAGAAAAAGAGGAAAGACAGAAAAAAAACCCTAAAATATGAAAATTTAACCTGAAAAGTTCAGAAGAACAGGGGAAAAATATTAAGAACAAAACTAAAGATAATTAAATACTCTGGTCAATCTGATTTTAAAAAAGCTGTCCTACCAGTTGATTAAAGAAAGCAAGATGGGAAGGTCTCTGACAGAAACATGAAATTATAAAGCACATTGATTTATTGTCTCCATCTCCTGGCAAGAGACTATAATATCAGTTTCTTAGGGTCTTGCTACATGTTACACTCAAGATGTTTTAAGTGCAGTTAACACATAAGCGCCTGCACATTCAAGAAGTAGTAAACATACTAAGTGCAATTGTATCATAGCAAAGTTAAGACTTGTCACGCAAGGAGTTATCTTTAGATGGTAATAAATAACATATGTTCAGCTATCATCAGACTGTTCCATGGAGAAAATACAATTTGCAGTCCTTACCTAGCCATGACATCTGCCAAGAACCCCTCTGCAGTACTAAGCTGCCACCACCAGTCCCAGCACCACACACTGGAGTCGTGAACCAGCTCTCATGGAGCGTGGGAGCTGGGACTCGCAATCAGCCGTCAGTCCCAGCCTCAGCACTTCCCCAGAGTCTTGAACCAGTCCTGGCATGCCTGGTTTGGGACTTATAATCAACTGACTGTCAGCCCCAGGCCCAGCAATGCACCTGGGCTGGTTCAAGACTCCAGTGTGGTACAGTGGCTGGGATGGACAATCAGTGAACTATGTTAGAGACCATATTAAACATCACTGTGCAACTGCTCAAAACATGTTTTAACTTTTAATATGACATGGATATATGCTTACTACAGTCCAAATAAAACATGTGCTATATATGCTGTGCAACAAGGCTCATGGGGTTCAGACAAGTTACATTTTTCATGTGATCGGGCCCCTGAAAGTGTTCTAAAGGCTGTGCAATGGCTATAGAATGCATTTAGAATGCCCAATCACATGAAAAATTAATCCCTGTCAAATCAGGTAGTAAATGAAGCACTGTAGGGAACTTCTATATACAGTTCTCTGCAAGGAATAAGTGCCATGCCCTTGGTCTGCCACAGGGAGAAGGCAGAAAATCTTCCCGCTATGCAGTGAAGAAGAGAGGGGGAGAGCATGCTTCCTCCCCTGCCTGCCTGGAAACAGCTGGCTAGTAGACCCAGCTGGCGCTTGTTCCCTCTTGTGGGGGGCTCAGAGACTGTGCCACCTCCCCGCCAGTGCCATGGGGCACTGGGAACACTTTCTTGTGAGGGGAAAGGGCGGGGAGAAACTAGGCAGTGACTGGGGATGGGGTTGCTCCGAGTAGGACCCACCCTGCAGGACAGTGCCCCAATGCCCCTTGGCATCGGCGAGGAGGGGGCACAGTCCCTCTCACTGGCCCCCCACAGGGGAAAATGAATGTCACTTGGCTCTTTTTAGCCAGCTGGCTGTTTCTGAGCAGGTGTGGAAGGAGAGAAGCTGAGCCATAATCAGGCTGGCTGGCTTCCACAGTAGGCTACAGCACCCCCTGCCTCCTAGCTTCAGCCAGTGCATGGAAGCACCCAGCCCCAACCAAATGCTGAATATCTGCTAGTTTCGATGACACTGTAACTTTAAGTGCTCTGTGTAAACCACAAAAAACTACAGCATGATCAAGGTGCCTTTCTGTAGCTTCTGTAAACACAGGGGATATGAAGGCATGCAAAAAGTTTCTGTCACATCAAGAATGGACACTTAGAAAATAAATGTCACAAGGAAAATAATCATTGATAACTGCTATGGTATCTGTATTTTATTCATCCTATTAATCTAGCTTTTCTTTTATCACTCCTTTCTTTTTCATTTAAAAGCCCCTTACTTCAAACAGAAGGCAAAATAGTATCTATTTACAATTAATATTACACTCCAATACATAAAAATCCTGGATTTATTTTTCAATGGGGGTGGTCCCATAGCTACAAAGGAGAACAGCAGAAAAATTAAGGAAAGAACACATCTGCTTAAAGAAAACTGTATGCACTGGAGTAGTCAAAGGTAACTGTCAAGGCAAACCCCAGCAAACCTGTGCTAGGTAGGTCTGTTCTGTTCCATCTTTAAATGGTTAAGGGATCTGTTTCTAACCCCATTCTTGACTACCAGATATAACTTTGTGGACCTCAATGCAGCCAAAAGGGCTGAAGGAAATTCACTGGACCTAGTAATGGGACAGAGAGGATTTGGTGAATACAGACTGCTGGGAATGTGGTCAGGAGATCATTTATATCCAGAAAAAGACAACCATTCTTCAGATTGCATTGACTGAAGTGAAATGTCTTCACGCCATGACCCATATTAAAAGACACAGTAAAGAGGCATATGAGAATGCTGAGTAAAATCAACAGAGAACTTAAAATATTGCATTTGTATTTTATGATTTTTATCATGAATGTTAATTAATATCATTAAATGTTAATTTATCCAACTGTCCTTCTTTAAAGTAGCATGGTGTGAAAAGCAGATGAACATTTTCAGCATGTGGAAGAATATAGGTTTGTTGAAAATTATACATATGTTTTTTACATAGAATAACTTATTCTATAAATTAAAGAGACTCTCTTGTAGAAAGGAGCCACCTTTTAGAAATACATCTGGCTTATACCTTGGTGACATTTACAAGGCAAGTTTTCTGGAAAATTTTGCTAATAGATTGGTTTTATACTTGTTTTTCTAAAGAACACAAATCAAAAGTGTATAAAAAGGAGGTCTCTCCTTTTAGCCAGTCTTTTCTAAATCAAATATACTTACAGATTGCTTAAACGCATTTAATTGCTCTTGCAGGTTCTGGGCTTTGTCAGCCTCTTTTTTCATCTCATTCAAATTCCGTTTGAATTCTGCAAGTTCTAAGCGGAGTGAACGACGTTCCACTTCTGCTGTATGCAGCCTTTGTGTAAATTCAAATATTTGCTTCTGCAGAGATGCTATGCTTTTCTGTCAGGAAACAGAAACAACTTTATGTGCTATATAATGTGCTATTTTAGCAATAAATCAATAGCATCTAATAAGTAAATTAAACAAAGCTTTCATTCTGCACTCACCCAAAAACACACACATGCACAAATGAAGCACTGTTTAACCTGCTGTTGTGGGTTACTGAAAAAAAATTTGAAGTATCAGTTTTCAGTAAATTTGCACAAAGAAGGGTAGATATTTAGAAACAGTTTTCCTTAGTTTTTGGAAAGAAAGAATATTTATTTGGTTTTAGCAAAAGCATACTACAAGAAGCAATGTGAAAACAAAAAAAGAAGAAAAACTTCCATTTTAAATGTAAATAAAAGCAATTACAGGATGTTCTTACACAGAAAGTTGTGTGTTCTGATAGTATAGAAGAAGGAAAAAATTATATCCACCTAGGTATACTATCAAATCTCATGTCATAATATCCTTTAATTTTACATTAAAAGGTACGACAACTCAAGACTCCAGTCTTTTAAGGTGGTATAACACAACATATAAATTTTCTATACAAGTTAATTTAAATTAAAATCAGCTGCAAAGATCAATTTGAAAATGAAATTAATATAATTACCATGAGATCTCTAAAATAATTATGATGTGAACTTGATATTTGTATGAATCAACACTATAAATATGCATACCGTAATGGGTACTCTTTCATTTAATCCAGCTTTCAGGGCCTGTGCATTTATTTTATGAAGTCCACAAGCTAGTCTCTGCACCAAGGAGTCCTTCTCTATATACGTAATGCTCCTGCTGTTATCCAGTTGTATAGTCTCCATTATTATGTTAAATTTGTCCATGAGCTTTGAAAAAGAATTCCTGGCTGCACTGATGAGTAAGGGCCCACAAAGCCAGGAATTTGGATCTTTAAGGGGAAAAAAAGAAAGAAAAACATATCGAGTAGATAATTTATTAGACTCATTTTTCAAAGCGGTATGGACTTAAATAATTTTGGTGGGAATATAGCCAATAAACTTGAAAGAGGAAGTCTGATCTCATCAGGCTAGATATTTTACTCCTTAAATCAGAAAAAGTTCTCATTACAATCAAAAGGAGCTTTCCCCAACTAAAGAATCTGGGCCAAATTCTACCTTAATATATGAACATGCTAATTCTACTGACTTGCTTTGCAGCTACATGTACACATATACAAGGACAGAATTTGGTCCTATTTTGTCAATGTATAATTTTTTAATTAGTTCTAGGTTCTCCTCCATTGTAGTCTTAGATCCTCTCTCAACATTGCAGTCTTTGGACTAATAAAGTACAGAAAAAATTTGCAGCAAACACACTGCCTGACATCTTTTCATGCGTCATATTTGACAGTAAAAGGTAAATCACTTTACTGCAACATTTACAATGCACATTCATAACTGTTTTCCCCTTTTTTCCCCAATGCAGATGTCTAAATCATTTGCTTTTTAAAACTAGTGAGGCTTGGTACCTTAATGCCACACTATTTATATTCTGAGACAAGAGAATATAATTTACCTTATTCCAAGGCAATTAAAATTTTACAGCTACAATTACTTATTTCCCCATAGGATTTTGGTAATCATCCTTCTCATATAATGGACTTAAGGCCCCAGCACACCCAACATGTCCTGCTTACTGCTAGATTCGTCAGGTCTGTAATTAATAATTGTGTTTAATGTTGATAAATAAAATTGTCAGTGCTCCTTCTACTAATTGGTATTCCAGATAACGGTTAATAGGTTTATTTATGCCTTAATAAAAGTCTTGTAATTTAGTTTTCCCTCTGCTAGGCAGGTCTTAATCTGTCATTACTTGTCTTATGATACTATCGGTGTAAGATGACAAGCATGGAGGAGCTTATTTACATTCAGTAGTAGACTAGATCTCCTGTTGCTGCACTGAATTACATTTTTTTTTTCTTTTCACAACAAGACAGCCTCTTTAAAACAAACAATTTAAGCTGTAAAGAGCAAAAAGGTTCAAACAAATGGAACTTGGAAATAACTCAGGTAATGTTCTCTAGAACCAAATCAAAGTATTATCTAATTTTATAACTGGATTCAACCCCTATGTGACCAAAAAACAGTTTAAGCACATAATCAAATTTACATATTCTCATGACAATGAATCAATATTTGTACCATCCTGCCCATCACTCAGGTCTGTTTCCTGGTTCTCATCTTCAATTCAACCTCCCATTCATCCAGGCTGTATCCGTTTTGCATGTTCTTTGTGCACAATCTATTCATGGTACAGCCTTTCTAGCCAGCCGCACAGGTAGAACTCATGTCCATGCACTGATGCTACAACATACATTTCTCTAGCCTTGAGAAGTACAATCTTACCTCACTGATAGCCACCCAGAACGCTGCTGCAAAAATCATTTACAAGCCTGTTCCCTCCCTTCACTCATCCCTCCCTTTCTTCTGTAGTTCCCCCCTTCTTTATTGCATCCAACAAACCTTCTCATCTTCAACTTTCTACGTCCTGTTCTCCCCACCCAACATCTCATTCTGTTTCAAAAGGTTAACTTGCCTCCAATCAGACTGTTATGCAAATTTCCATAGTCCACTTGTTAGATTTTCAAGGAACCTGCATGTCTTCTTCCATGCTGCCCCTCATATTTGGGAGGAGCTGCCCATGAATATCTGACAAACTACATTATTACCTTCCTTCAAATGCCTGCTTAAAACTGACATTTGCTGTGGGGCCCACAAAAGAACTTAACAGTTAGGCTGCTGGTGCTCTGTGGCTCCTCCCTATCATGCAGATCAACACAATATCATTGCTTACTTGCATTTCTCCATCTATTGCCTCTTTTCATAGGGTGTACAGGGCCTTTAGAGAAAAGACTATCTTTTAGTCCTGTGAAAGTATAGCATGTTGTCATGCTACACCATAACTAAAGCTCCTAGGTCTGAGTGTAACAATCATTAGTAATTATTCCATGCTGAAATCAGATTATTAATTATTATAATTATAATTATTTCACTCTGAAACCAGAATTCTACCAGTTGACTATATGAACAAGTTCCATTTTAAGATTAGTGCACAAATTAAGAAACTTTCTTAGAATATAAAACATAAAAGCAAAACATCACCTCTAGTTAATATTTAATGAATGATGGTTATGACTAAAACACAAAAATGTGCTGGTGTAAGTCACTGAATTCTTTGAAAAGTGAAATGAGAATACAATGCAATTCCACAAGGTACAGTATTCTGCTTTATCTTTTCCCACTGGTTATAGACTATACGCTTTAAGTATCTGTCCACAGACTATCAAGAAATTACAGTAAAAGCCCTAAATAATTTATGTCAAGATAAGTGTGTAAGAAATGTCTTATACAGACAGTTACAGTACAAAGAGCAATCAATTCTTTAATAAACAAATTAAACAAAAGCCAATAAAAAGTAACAAACCTTACTTTAGTGACAGATGATTCTGTTTTGCTTTGTTTTTTGTGAAATAGAATGAAGAGGAAAAAAATAAACTCAATAATACTATACAGGGACTTAACAAGGTCATGCTAAGCTTCAGAAAATAAGTTTGTTACAACTGACAATAACTGCATGCAAGTAAACTTATTCCTTGATTTCCCTGGGCTCTGCTACAGAATGTGTGCGCTAAAACCAGCCCTAACTTAAGAGAACATGCACTTTACAGGACTTGAAGTCAATTAAGAACTCACCACTCAACCCCCATATATTTGAGATTACTGAACAGGTCTATCACAAACCCATCAAACCCATCTAGAGCCCAGAGTTTTTCCCCACTACCTTGCCACTTTTTTCCCTGGGATACTCATTTATCCTTAGCCTCAGCTCCACTGCCCTTCTACTGGACTGCACATGCAGCAGAGGAATGTCTGCTAGCCTAAGGTAGCCTCCTGTTGGGGTTATAACAGAAATTTTACGTCTTTCTTTCCACTGAATGGAAATATATCTGGAATATCACTCGTCCAGATATCACTCTTATCCATAGGTATAAAGTAAGGAGACAAAACAACAAAAAGATTTATTTTGTAGGAGAAATGAATTATACAAGAAAAAGTGACCATAAGTTTAGAGAAAGAGAAAAGCCAAGACAAGTACAATTTCTTACACACTCATGTGGCTACATACTAGCCCTCCTGAGAGTCCTGCCACTATTACAAGAAATCATCCTTCCTGTGAATTTTGCCATCCCTGACTGCTGAAGACACTCAAAAGCCTGGGATCCAAAAACCTTAGTCCTATTGTAGTTAGAGCCTAAAATACTCCTCAGCCAGCCCCTCATTAGCATTATTCTAATTGCTCATGAAGGGCTTCTGGTCCACTTCTGGGTCTGCTGCCAAGCATGCTGGGGACCCCCCCCACACTCCTGTAGGATGCTCCATCCACCCCACCATCTCAGCATTCACAAGCCGCCTGGTACCTTGAGGTATGTAGAAAAAGCATTTAAAGCTGTCTCTATGTTCAAATCATCCAGTCTCTCTCAATCAATTCGGAGGGTACCGATTCAATTCAGAAAAATTAAAGGGTCTCCTGATTTGATTCGGATTTGGAGATTTGGCTGCCAAAACAGGCCAAATCTCTACCCAACTGAATCAGCAACTGAAGCTTTGCACAGCCCTAGTGGCTAATTACGTTGTCAAAAAGCCTGAGGCTGAAATGATTTAGTCATTGCAGGTTAGTCTAAGCTGCAAAGATTGAACCAATAAGCAGACATTCACTTTTGATTCAGGAATTTCAGCCACATGCCTGCAGTTGCTCAAGCCAGAAGCTGGAGATTACTAGAGCATGGCTCTCTGGCACATAGCCAGCATGGGCTGTGTTTGCTTCCTCTTCCTGCTGCCTCTGAGGTCTCTGGGATTTGCAGCCCACAATCACAGCAGCAGGACTCTGCAGGGTTGCTCATCACTTCCTCTTTCTGCTTTCAGGCACCTCTGGGATTCATAGTCCACAGCTGCAGTCAGCAGTAAGTAAGCAGGGTAGGACAGATCTGTACCTCCCCTGCCCTATGGGGAGGGGAGTTTAACCCCCCTCCCTAGCCCCAGACCCCAGCTGGCGTTGGCAGAGGGGGGCGGGGCGACGATTCAGTCTTCACCTCCTTCTCAGCCAGATGGTGCTCCAGCTAGGCAGCAGAGGGGGGGGGCCAGCCCTGCTCTTTGGAGTAGACAGCACAGCCCAGAACTGCAAAGCATGCTGGGAGACTCTGATTTAACTTGAACCATGAATGGGTCTGGGACAGAAGTTTCATAAATTGGTTTGACCTAAATCAGTTAAGTCTGATACTACATTCAACCAGGTTTATCTTAAACTAGTTTTAGCCATTTTCAGACTGGTTTATATGCACTGAACATCTGTCCTGTTGCAGATTTAAACCAGTTACTGGTCACTTAACCAGGTTTATGCGTAACTTCTGTCCCTAGCCTATGTGGTTGTTTTTCCTGTCATGAGCAGACTATAACTTGGGTGCCCATCCCGCTAGTGGCCCCTTCTGTATGTGATTGGGAGTGGCAACTGTCCTTGCCCTCGTATTACAATAGCAAGAGTTACTTATCCATTTTGCCTGGTTTTTCCTTCGACTAAACCATGATCAAAATCACAAAGATATATACAGACAATGTAACAGTCTATTCAATGATAAAAGCAACATCAATGGATATAGCATCCACTGGCTTTCCAACAAGACTACACATGCTATAGCAGTACAACAAATACAAAAAAATCTGCAAGACACCTGATGTACCCTAAAACAGGGTGGGTTCACAATAAGTTCAAGACAAAGTTGTCTGTGAAACACAGAGGAATGTTACAAAGGAAAAAACTATGAATGCCAGGAGATTATATTAAAAAAAAAAAGAAGATAAACAGAAATGTGCTTCCTCAAACCAAAGCTCGCCT